CAGCAGCTCAAACATGCTTGATGCACGAGAACCAATGAGGTTTGTTCTTTTGTCACGTTTTATGCTATTGACCATATTTTATGTACTTTGTGTCACGGCGCGGTACAGAAAACACACCGTGTAAACAGGGGTCTGGGTCCAAATGCAGGTTTATTTGACTGCAGGGGAAAAACAAAGTCAAAACCAAAACAGAAAACACAAACAGAGCTAAGACTCTGACACACAGGCTCAGAACCGAAAATGGACTCTGACACAATACGGCCACGTAGAGCTTGCATCAGTCCATGTACCAACAATTGCTTTGTGAGCGGACACCGCTGCCTCGGGGAAACTAAGAGCGGACACCGCCGCTTCCGGAGCCTTGTAAGCGGACACCACTGCCTCGGGGGAACTGAGAGCGGACACTGCCACCTCCGGAGCTTTGTGAGCGGATACCGCTGCCTCGGGGAAACTGCGAGCGGGCACCGCCGCTTCCGGAGCTTTGTGAGCGGACACCGCTGCCTCGGGGAAACTGCGAGCGGGCACCGCCACCTCAAGGAAACTGAGAGCAGACACCGCCGCCTCGGGGGAACTGAGAGCGGCCACCGCCGCTTCCGGAGCTTTGTGAGCGGACACCGCTGCCTCGGGGAAACTGCGAGCGGGCACCGCCGCCTCAAGGAAACTGAGAGCGGACACCGCTGCCTCAAGGAAACTGAGAGCGGCCACCGCCGCTTCCGGAGCTTTGTGAGCGGACACCGCTGCCTCGGGGAAACTGCGAGCGGGACCGCCACCTCAAGGAAACTGAGAGCGGCCACCGCCGCTTCCGGAGCTTTGTGAGCGGACACCGCTGCCTCGGGGAAACTGCGAGCGGGACCGCCACCTCAAGGAAACTGAGAGCGGCCACCGCCGCTTCCGGAGCTTTGTGAGCGGACACCGCTGCCTCGGGGAAACTGCGAGCGGGACCGCCACCTCAAGGAAACTGAGAGCGGCCACCGCCGCTTCCGGAGCTTTGTGAGCGGACACCGCTGCCTCGGGGAAGCTGCAGGCAGGCGCCGCCGCCTCGGGGAAACTGAGAGCAGACACCGCCGCCTTGGGGACTCTGCGAGCAGACCACGCCGCTCGTACCGACATCAGTGGAGGTTCCCGCACGCTGCGTACCAGCCCGCGATGCTCCAGGAACGGGCGTGAGGTACTGGGTGCAGCAGACGAGGCCTCTGACGACCCTGGGATTGCCGCCTCGGGAGAACTGTGAGCAGGCTCTGCAGCCAACTCCATCCTGACGGCTGAGCCGCTCAACTGCAGAGCCAGGTTGACGTAGTCCTCCAGCGCCTCCTCGGGGTGCCAGAATGGCATAAGGGATTTGAAAGGCTCGCTTAGGCCCCCCCAGAAACAGACCATTGAGCAGGTCCTCTCTGTCGCCGACTGGCGAGCCACTCCCACGAAGTCCCTGGCGTAATCCTCAATGCACCGGTCTCCCTGGCGGACATTGAGGAACTTTCCTGCTGGACCCATGCTTGGCGGATTATTCTGTCA